AATGGTATAAAGAACTTTTATATCTCTTCAAAGATTTAATGATTAGCCTTTTCTTCGTACTTGCTTCTTTTTTTTTTGTATTTCAATCAATTTTACAGTGGTTTTTGGCAACAGAGTCTCACTTTGGTGCCCTTGGTAGAGTGCCATGGCATTATAGCTCACAGCAACCTCAACTCCTGGGCTCAAGCAGTCATCTTGCCTCAGTTTTACTATTTTTTTAGAGATGGGGTCTTGCTCTTCCTCAGGCTGGTCTCAAACTCCTGAGCTCAAGCAATCCACCTGCCTCGGCCTCCCAGAATGCTAGGATTACAGGTGTGAGCCACCTCGCCTGGCCAATTTTTCTGTTTTTCGTAGAGACCACGTCTCATTCTTGCTCAGGCGTATCTTGAACTTCTGGCCTCAAGCAGTCTGCCTGCCTCAGCCTCCCAAGTGCTAGGATTACAGGCTTGAGCCATTAGTGTTATTTGAAGAATTCAGGTTTTATTCTACAGGCAGTGGGGACCTAGTAAGAGCTTCGGAGCAGGAAAATGCAGTGTTTCTCATCCCATCTAGAGTGATATGCAGAGCAAGAAACTGATGAAGGGAAAATCCAGGCACAAGGTTAGTGGTAGAATAGATACAGAGAAAGGCAAGACTGGGCAGAGATGGCTCCATGACTATAAGGGAAGGGAGCGTGCATGGGGCAGCACGTTCAACCCTCGTCAAACTGAGAAAACAGTGAGGCTGGTGGAAATGAAGCAGAGGTGGGCATGTTTGTGGTAAGTGATAGGTTTTTTTGAGAAACATTTTTAACACACAGGCTCTCACTCTGCACGTTGGAGGGAGACCTTGAAAAGCTAATGATTCTGATTTAATTGGTCTGGACTGTGGCCTGGGCATTGGGATATTTTTAGTTTCCCTGGTGTTTCCGATGTGTAGCCGAGACTCAGGATCCCTGAGTTATATCTTGTAGCTCCAAGTATAGTTCGTGAATAAGCAGCTTTAGCAGCACCTAGAAACTTACTTAAAAAGCAGATTCTCAGGCTCTTCCTTGGGCCCAATGAAGTAGGAATCTGCATTTTAACAAGCTGTCCAAGTGATTGGGCACAAAAGTTTGAGTCTTGAGTCAGAAGAACTTCTAAAAGACGATTGAGAATAGTAGGAGGCCCTGGTCATCAGGCCTGAAGATAGAGCTGGCGCTCAGACCAAGTGGTGCTCACACCTCTCTTGCCACTTGTATGTTCACAGGAGAGTTTCTTAACTCCAGTATTCACAAAGGATGAACAGAAGCACAGACGTCCCTTCGAGTTTGAGGTGGAGAGGGATACAAAGGCTCCCTGCCTGAAGCAGCTCTCTGCCGCCCAAGGGCACCCCCCCATTGTCCTCAATGGCTGGCACGGGGAGACAGCGATAGATCTCTCGTGCTCCTCGGATGGGTCCCCAGGAGCCACATCCCCTTTCCCAGTGAGCACCAGCACACCGAAGATTGGAGCTATCAGTTCACTTCAAGGAGCCCTTGGCATGGATTTGTCTGGAATTCTGCAAGCTGGCCTGATCCATCCAGTGACCGGACAGATTGTCAACGGCAGCCTTAGAAGAGATGATGCAGCCTCAAGGAGGCGGAGAGGCAGGCGGAGACATGCAGAAGGAGGGATGGACCTCATCTTCTTGAAGGAGCAGACCCTTCAGGCAGGAATCTTGGTGGGTGTTTGGGGCATTAAGTAAAGACATTGACCTTTCTACACTGAGAAACAAACCCATCATCACACACAAAATATTTTGGTTAATGGATCTTTTATCCCTATTTCAGTTGTCCTGCTTTCTCTCATTATAAGATGCCCTTCATCTTTTCCCATTAATGTCCCTGAATCTGTTTACAACCTGGAGAAATGAGCCAGGAGGTCTCACCATTTCTAATGGAAACAGATCTCTCTTCATGGTTTTAGAAGAGCCACTGGTGACTGAACAGGCAGAGCAAGATGGCAGGGTTGAGCTGCAGCTGCATGTCTGCAGGGGCTGGGGGTGGAAGAAGGAGCAGGAGCCAGGGCTGCCTGAACCGTGGAGCTGGGCAACATCAGCCTGCCACTGAGTCTCACGTCACTCCTCTGTAAAGTGAGGCAGCTGGAGGATTCCCAGAGATCCTGCTGAGGCATTATGTTCTAAACTCAGAGGAGATCATGGTGAACAATAGCAGGGGTCAGAAATTATATACCTGGCCCAGAGAGCTCCCCCCCACCCCTGCTTTGCTTTGCTTTGCTTTCTTTTTTTCTTTTTTTTTTGAGACAGAGTCTCACTTTGTCACCCTGGGTAGAGTGCCATGGTGTCATAGCTCACAGCAACCTCAAACTTCTGGGCTCAAGTGATTGTCTTGCCTCGGGCTCCCAAGTAACTGTGACTACAGGCATCTGCCACAACACCCAGCTGTTTTTAGAGATGGGTTCTCGCTCTGACTCAGGCTGGTCTTGAAGTCTTGAGGTCAGGCAATCCACCCGCCTTGGCCTCCCAGAGTGCTAGGATTTCTGGCATAAGCCACTGTACCTGGCCTCAAGACATACCCTTTAGATTATTTGCTTGATGTTATATTTTGGTTTTTCCCATTTATTAGATTTTGAGCTTCAAAACAGGGATCACATTTTGTTTTTTGTTTTGTTTTGTTTTTTGGAGACAGTCTCACTTAGTCACCCTTGGCAGAGTGCCATGGTGTCATAGCTCACAGCAACCTCAAACTCTTGAGTTCAAGTGATCCTTTTGCCTCAGCCTCCCCAGTAGCTGGGACTACAGGCACCTGCCACACACCCAACTATTTTTAGAGATGGGATCTCACTCTTGCTTAGTCTGGTCTTAAACTCATGAACTCAGTCAATTCACCTGCTTCGGCCTTCCAAAGTGCTAGGATTATAGGCATGAGCCACCGTACCCAGTCTGTTTTCTTATTTTAAAAGGAATAATGATAGCTAATTATTATAGCTATTATTATATTGCTGTAATAATAATTGCACTAATAATTGAGGACCTACCATATGGTAGGCACATGGTACTTGTATTATGTGGTCAAGGTTTCACATGATTACTACTGTTTGCTTCTCACAACAACCCTGTGAAGATAGATTTTTTATTCTTTTTTCTATTTTGAAACAGAGTCTCACTCTGTTGCCCTAGGATAGAGTGCTGTGGTGTCAGCCCAATTCACAGCAAACTCAAACTCCTGGGCTCAAGAAATCCTGCCTCAGCTTTTTGAATACCTGGGACTACGGGTGCCCTCCAGATGCCTGGCTAATTTTTCTACTTTTAATAGAAACAGGATCTTGAATTCTTGAACTCAAGGGATCCTCCCACCTCAGCCCCCTCTGCCCACCCTGAGTACTAGGATTACAGGTGTGAGCCATGTAATCAGCTATTATTCTCATTTTATAGATGAGGAAACTGAGGCTTTCAAGCATTAAATAATTTGACCAATATTATCCAGCTAGTAAGTGGCAGAGAAGGAAACCAAACCAAGAGCCTTCTCTAGATGCTGAGAGCTTTACTCCTAAGGTGTATCGTTTGGGATATGAATTCTTAGACTTTCCATATCATTTGGGGAGCTAAAGTGGCAGGTTCTTATTTGTGGAGATGCTTATTTAGTACTGACACTGTTTTTTATCAGTAGACCCCATTACAGAGCTGATTAAGACACACACTCAAACTCCAGGGGATGAGTAGGAGAGTTGCAGTCAGTTGCAGAGTGGCATCTTCCATTGCCTGAGAGAGCTATGACCACAGTGCTGGGGAGGCAGGAGCTGCAGTGGCCCGTACTGCCTGGGATAGGCAGAATGTCCTGCCGAATCCCAGCAGTCAGGATGGGGTTAAAGTTTGCCAAGTAGATGGGGTGGGGGACATGCAGTCAGGTAATATGGCAGGAGCTCCTGCTCAGGTCAGGAGCATGTGTAGAATTCTTGATGTGTGTAGAAGAATTATCATTCAAGCAGCCCAGCTCAGTATTGTTAGGGTGGAGATGGAAAGATTCCAGGAACACCTTATGTTTTCCTAGAAAGTAGTTTTTGTTTGGTCGTGATTAACAACACATTATCATTTTTTTCATCATCCAGGAAGTCCATGAAGACCCCGGACAGGCCACCCTGAGTACAACACAACCAGAAGGGCCAGGGCCTGCTACCCTGGCCCCTGAGCCAGCCGCAACAGCTGGCAACCAAGGCGAGAAAGCAGTTCCCAGCAAGAGTCTGCTGGACTGGCTGAGGCAGCAGGCTGACTACTCCTTAGAAGTTCCTGGCTTTGGAGCAGTAAGTGTTTGTTGGTACTGTCTGAGAAAACTGTTTACTTTCTGCTAATTTGTTGCTATTTTTGATAAAAGCATGCTGAGGGAACTAGAAAGTTGGGAGCTGTTTGGGAGAAATGTTCTAACTAAGAACAGCATCTTAAAGGTTTTTTTTGTTTTGGCTGGGTTTTGGTGGCTCACACCTATAATCCTAGGTCTCTGGGAGGTTGAGGCTGAGATACTTAAGTGCAGGAGTTTGTGACTAGCCTAAGTAACAGTGAGACTAAAAATAGAAAAATAGAAAAATTACCTAATCCCAGCTACTCAGGAGGCTGGAACAGGAAGATTACTTGAACCCAAGAGTTTGGGTTGTAGTGAGCTAGGCTGATGCCTCTGTGCTGTAGCCTGGGTGACAGAGTGTAGTTAAATTCTCCAGTAATAGAAATGACAGTCATGTTAGAACACTTTGCCAGAATGTAGACATCCAAGATCTTAGAACTTGCCTAATTAGTTTGGTCCCCAGTTTGTGCAAAAATTGCCACACAGGGAAATCTTCACATTGCATAAGCTTTGCCCTTTGCTGAAAAGTTAATGTTACTACTTTGGGGCTGGGGACGCTACTGTAAGCTCTGCAGCTGTTCCTTTAGGCTGTTTCCTTCAAGTCATCTTACTGCCTTTGCCCTGAATTCTTCATGTCAGAATTGTTTAGGAGAGCACCTGATACTGTTTTTGGTTTTTCTTTTCTTACTTGTTCATCTACCCTACCACCATCTTTGTGCTGAGTGCACCTGTATGCTAATAAGATACGTGGGTAAAGAGTGCACAGGGAAAGGACAACACTTTCACAGATGCACACCCTCCAGTGATAGGCAGGACCAGCCAGGCAAGTCAAAGTGGAGGTGAATCGCAGAAAACAATACAGAGGAGGTAGCTAGGGATTAGCAGTACCCAGACGAGCAGCTCAGGTGTTACGGTCTGCAGGGCTGGGGCCCACACAGCCTGTTTTCCAGCTGAACATGGACTTGAGCTGAAGCCTAAGTGGGCCCAGGTCACTATTTCCTTCAGCTTAACCTGGCCAGGTCCTCGGTAGAAGGCCACTAATGAGAAAAATAGCAAAACCAGTGGAAAAGCACCGCTCGTTATCAGATCTGTGACAGAATGTTTTATAATTGTAGTCTCCATTTGCCTCCTAGAATTTTTCAGACAAACCAAAGCAGAGGAGGCCACGCTGTAAGGAACCTGGAAAATTAGACATCAGCTCTCTGAGTGGGGAAGAGGGGGTTCCTGCTGTCCCCAAGGAGCCAGGACTGAGGGTAAGGAAAAAGGCCGTGAGCATGGGGCCAAGAGAAGTGTCCCAGGTGAGCCAGACCTTGCACACTTGAGACAAAGCCTTGGGTGACCCCTTTCAAGAGGACGAGAGACCCACACAGGAAGTTGATAAATGTTGAGAAGGGGTGCAGTGGCATTTTGGTATTTCTGCACACAGGGAGACTCCCAGTGGTCATTTGTTTTCCAAAATTGTTTATTAAACCACAAAATAAAAGCAAAGCTTTTATTCTTTTTCTACTTGTAGAGTTAAAAGGGAAAAGAAACCTTAACTTTTGTCAGGAGTCTTGTTTCCAGTGTTTAACAAACCTCATTATTGGAAGTTTTATTTCCTAATCCAGGCTTTTCTGGCTGCCATTTAAGACATTTCTTCCTAGTGTTTGGCAATGAAAAACAGCTGACTCTGACCACTGCCCTTTTCCTATTATAGAACCATGAGCCTGGAAGGGACTTCAAAGGCATCCGCAGAATACTTCAAGGATAACGAATCTGAGTTAATTATAGTTTGCAGATGAGTACAAATTTGGGCTAGAAAAGTCATAACCTCTAGGGGGCAGTAACAACATTCCAACTTGAAAATGTGTTGTGCTTGTGCGGATTAAACATAAATGTGCTCTGAACCTCCTGACAGTGCATCCTGCCCAAACAGGGAGCATCTGAAGGTCCTTATGGAGACATCTGCTCTTCCCAGGGTGTTCCGTAGACTCACGCTTTCCTGACTACCCTCTCTTAAGTACTCTGCCAGCTCCATCCTTCCTTGACTAGGAACTCCCTTCTTGGTGGGATTGCCGATATGTGGTTTCTTTTTTTAGCTCCAAAAGACTGCCCGGCCTAGTTTTCCTCTTGTGCAGAAAGAGTACCTAATGTTCTCAAGGAACTCGTGACTGAATTTGTCAGCTGGATTATCACTTGTCTAGCAGCTCACAAGTGACAGCTGTCCTCATCCCTATCCACTACCACAGCCCTTCGGAGGGGACCTGGGCCATAGGTACTCTGTCACATTGGAAAAGCTGCCCTTTGTCTTTTTTCTCGTTTTAGTCCCAGAAAATGTGCCTTCCACCCTTTTCTTAGGGTGCAGTACCAGCTGGTTCAGGTTCTGTTTGATCCCGTCTGGCTCCTCACCCCATCACGGCCTCCCACTTTCTTCTTTTGTCTCAGCACAGAGTGTCTCTGCTACATGAGTGGACAAGGAAAGGCCTCCAGTTCTTGCTGGTTTGTAATCTCTGAGCTCCGCCTTTAGAGACATGTCAAAGAAACCACATGGTTTCGCCCTTGGCTTTCTCATTTCTTTCACCATGTCTAACAATTTCCCTCATGTTCCCTGGAAATCAGTGTTCACCCCTCCCCTGCAGACGTTGACCCTTTGCCAGAAAACCCATTTCTAAGCTGTCCTAGCAGCCAGCCTCTTCCCAGAGATGTGTTTCCCTCCTTTGTTAAATAAACACACTCGTGCCTTGGAGACTCTTCCTGCAGTAAGGAAAGAGCAGGAAGCGTTTGGGCGCCTGGTTGGGGCTGCTCAGCCTCCCAGCGGGCGGGGCCAGTGTGTCCCCCGCACCGTCCTGCCGGACACTGGCCTTCTGGGGTGTACCATACTCTTCTTTCTTCCCCTAGAAACTCTTCGTCTGTTCAGGCCACCACACAGAATACTACAGGCTGGAGGAGCGGGGGAATTATAAACACCATAAATTTACTTCTTATAGCTCTGGAGGCCAGAAGCCCAAGAAGAAGGTACCAGCAAAGTCAGTATCTGGGGAGGGCCTGTTCTGCATGGACAGACGACTTCTCACTATGTCTTCACATAGAGAACAAGAGGACCAAGCTCTCACAAGGTCACTGATCCTATTCGATAGGGCTCAGCCCCTGTGACTTACATACCCCACCCCCCCCAAGCCCCATGTCCTATTACCATCACACTGGGGGGAGGATTTCAGCACATTAATTTGAAGGGAACCAAACATCTGGTCACCTACCCTTTCTTTTAGTCCCACAAGGAACTCTTCCTTTCTTCCTTGGAGCTCACAAAGCCCCTCTGCTGCTTGTCTTGTGGTTTGGCAGTCAGGGTGCACAGACCTAGCATAGCACAGGCTGCACATGAGGCCATGGGATTCAATTTCACGGTGCCCAGTACAGGACAGTTGCTCATTAGATACATGTGTACACACACACACAACATAGCTTATATAAGTTACACGTGCATATATATTTTATTTTATAAAATAAAGACAGTTGGCTCGGCGCCTGTAGCACAGTGGTTACAGCACTGGCCACATGCACCAAGGCTGGTGGGTTTGAACCCGGCCCAGGCCTGCTGAACAACAATGACAACTACGACAAAAAAATAAGTCGGGCGTTGTGGAGGGTGCCTGTAGTCCCAGCTACTTGGGAGGCTGAGCAAGAGAATTGCTTAAGCCCAAGAGTTTGCAGTTGCTGTGAGCTGTGACACAACCACACTCTACCAAGGGTGACATAGTGAGATTCTGTCTCCAAAAAAAAACAGTTTATTTGACATGACACATCCTTTGAGTACGTCAACATGCATCTTGTAAGAACTTTTCCTAGATAATTACTGCTGTTATCACACATGCATGTCAATAGTATCTAATCCAGATTCTACCAGTATTCCCCGAAATGTCTTTACAGAGCTGAATTTTGTTCTTTTTTATTTTGTTTTGGTTTTAGGATTTTTAAATGAGGCTCCACACATTACATTTGGTTTAGTTCTCTTTTCACCCAGTGAATATTTGTTGGATGAATCTACTAACCTTCCTGGGAGGAGAAAGGAAGTCATCACCGCTTTGTGTTAACTCCACCCAGGAGTGAAGTTTTAGGGTTGGAAAAGCTCCGACCACGTATTGATGGAGATGTTCTTCTCGGGCTGGAATACCCGTGCCGTCAGTTAGCAGAGCAGATTTGCCTCCAGTGTTGCCTGAGCACAAGGAGTCTCCTTTTCCTTGCTCCCTCTGTCCCTGGAAGAGGAAGCAGGTTTGCTTCCAGGGTATAATTACCAGGAGGGAGAGCTGCCAAAGCCCGCTGTGGCCTCTGTGTGTGGTCGCTGAGTGCGGGAGGGGCACCTGCCTGGGGTGGGCAGCAGCTGGTGGCTGGAGCGACTCTCCTCTGCAGGAAGTGGTTAGCGCTGACTTCCTGTGGCAGTGCTCCTCCCGCTGTGCTGTGGGTGACAGAGTCGTCACCTACCCCCTGGGCCTTTCTGCTGCTGCTCTCCAGATTTGAAGGGAAAAGAAAGCCAGCTGTGAACACTCATGGTTCTCAGCAAAGGCAGGGAAAGGATGTTTTAGGGCATTCAGAGGCCTGTGGAGTGCTACTTGCGCTGAGTGGGCAGGGCCTGGGAGGCCAGCGGTTCTGCAAGGGGCACAGGCTGGTCCTAGATGATGAGACTCAAAATAGCATGTTAGGCTCAGTGCCCGTAGCACAGTGGTTACAGCGCCAGCCACATACATCGAAGTTGGCGGGTTCGAACCTGGCCCGGGCCAGCTAAACAGTAACAACTGCAACAAAAAAAATAGCTGAGCACTGTGGTGGGGCCCCTATAGTCCCAGCTGCTTGGGAGGCTGAGGCAAGAGAATAGCTTAAGCCCAAGAGTTTGAGGTTGCTGTGAACTGTGATGCCATTGCACTCTACTGAGGGCAGCGTAGTGAGACTCTGTCTCAAAAAATAAAATAAAAATAAAGCATGTTAATGAGGATCTGATTCATAGCAGATTGCCTGAAAATAAGAAGAAGGCACTAAATTCTGGGTTTCTTTTCTTCCCAACAGTAGACTTCCAAGATGGAACATGTGCCTCTCAACTGGAGAATTAGAGGGAGAGTTACAAGGGAACATTTGTGGATGTGAAAGAGAAAGACACTCCCTACCACCTTTGTTTGGCTCTTGGTTGTGGGTGGGCTGTGGAAAGACAGCTCAAAAAGGCCTTGTGGTTGAGTTGTGGTTACCCAGTCAGGCCCTGGCCAAGCTGTCATGCCAGCAAGAGCCTGAAGCTGCTTGGTGTAGACAGGGTGGCTGCCCCAGAATGAGGTGATTAGCACTGGTCAGCTGAAGACAAACTGGTGAGGAATTATCCTTTTAGCCTGGCCCCAATAAAGAGGAGCCAGCCAGGAATTACTTCCCAGGTGACTGTCCCCAGAGCCAGAGTGGGCAGTTGCCCAGCACCCTCCAGGACAAACCAAGGGCTGGTCCTGTTAGGAAGGGGCAGGGGTGTGGCACTGTATGGAAAGAGCCCCGGGCTGGGGACCACAGGGCCTGGGTTCTCACTTGCTCTGTTCCTGACCACCTGCGTCCCCAGGAAATCCCTGACCCTCTTTTTGTGAAAATAAAAGGGACCAAACATTGTAGTTTGGGGACTTTCTTCCAGCTCTGTGATATTAAACCAAAGCTTTTGAGGAGAGTTTTCGCCACAAAGTTGCCACCATAAAGCTTTTCATCCATGACTGTTTTAGGGTGTGTTTTGGGGGGGTTTTTTGAAACAGTTTCACTGTGTCACTCTCTGTAGAGCGCGGTGCTGTCACAGCTCACAGCAACCTCAAACTCTTGAGTTTAAGCGATTCTCTTGCCTCAGCTTCCCAAGTAGGTGGGACTACAGGCGGCCAGCACAACGCCTGGCTATTTTTTTTTTTTTTTT